AACCCACGCTTTGTATACAAAAGAAATACGTCCAACCCCTGTCCTTGCCATGGCCATCATAAACAAGTAATTTTTAGTAATCACCATCCCATCGCCTTTCTTATCTAAACTTCCTGTTTATTCATGTTATTTCAAGTTTTTCTTAATCCCTGTTTACACTACCATATTTTCTTACTCGAACTTAGTGTTTATTTTGTCATTTTACTATTTCTACACATTTAATCCCTGATTGCATAAACAATTATTCATCACATTAGTTTTTATCCAAACATCCTGTCTATTTTGTTATTTCTACATTTCTAACCCCTAATTGCACAATGTCAGTCTTCTTAGTTATTTTAATGCTATTTTGTTTGTTTTATCCATCCCCCTGTTTATTATGGCATTCTAATTCCCAATTTTAATTTTTATATTCTAATCCTTTATTTCTATTTTTTTGTTTCTATGCCTCTTGTAATCTGTCTGTATTCACACCTCCTAACTTACATTTCAAGTTGAAAATTTTTGATTTCTGCTTGTTTCCATGCTCAATTTAGCCCTGAAACTAGCCAGTAGAACAGCAGTTCCAAAAGAATCATTGTTCATAAAACTGCAATTCCTCGGTGACAACATCAGCGAAAAAGTAACACAGAGCCTGAAGAATGCAGTTAAAGAGCTTTCAATGCAGGTGAGGCACGTTGTTTCTTCACAACAACCCCCATAAATGAAAAGCATATATCTCCTCACTATATAATTTTGCTATACCTACACAATTAAAACAAGAATATTAACAGGAAGTATTTTATCAAAAAAAATTTTTTTTATCCATAATGGCTGATGGGCAATTAGGCGAGGTGATGTTGAACTCTGTGACTTGTTGGCTTTTTGAAAGTCAAGTGGTGAAGCGGATCAGTTACACTGTTGGGTGTTCGTTCACCATTTTATAAAGCTTGTGCCATCATTCTATTCATCGAAAATTCGCATTATGACATACAGAAAATCAAAAGAAGTCATTCATGGAAGAGACTCTTTTCAACGAATTTATTATCAAGCTGTACAATAGTATACAAATATATGGTTTTTAAAAGATTATATCCGATGTGTGAATTGAATCGTAGGTGTGAATGCATAAAATAATAACAATAATAATAGTAGTATGAAATGCAATTAAAACTAAAATGTTTGTGATTATAATGATAGTTAAATGTCAACGAGGGGCAAAACAATTAATGTCATATGTAGAAAGAATAATTCATAGGATGGATAGAACTTGAAAAAGGGTGTGCAATTATAGGATTAGTAGACAAATGGAATAAAATATAAAAAAGTTACGTAACATTGTGTGAAATTTAATAGCACAGAATTTAATGTTGCAAAACAGAATTGATTCAGGATGACAAGTGGGACAAGTGAAATAATACTGCGCACAATCCAAAGTGAGAATAGTAATAGTAACAATTGACGTAATAAAGGAAGAGTATACAAATTGACTTGTGCGTCGGTGGCATAGCGGTTAGGACGTTCGCCGACCATACACATGGTCCGAGGTTCGATCCCCGGCCACCGACGCACTCCTTTACCTCGCTAAGCCAGAAAAAAGTGCTGGTAAAGAGGAAAGGTTGGGAATGAGGCTGGGAACCCCATCCTGTAAAAGTAAACACTACAACAGAAACTTCGAGCCACTAGCTTGAGGCCCTATGTTTCACTGGGAACGTGAAGGAAAAATTATATTAATACAAACTGAATAGAAAAAATGAAGAAAAACAGATGGTAGAGCCAAAATATGGCTAGGCATGGGGTAGGGGGGATTAAGACTATGAAAGTTGGAGGGGTTGAACAAACTTTCTCTGTATACAGAGAGATCTAGCTTTAGTGTTTCGATAGCCAGAGCCTCAACAATACAGATGAGTCGGGTACGTAGTGATATGAGGAAATTAATTTTCGTCTTGCAGATGACTTTAAAGGCAGAGTCTGTAGAGACACGGTGATCCAAACAAAAATGTCCAACAAATTAGTGGAAGAAAATTATCTTGCCAAGAGAAAACAGTTCACCAATGTAATACCGTCCGCCATTGATAAAACATAGTGGGTAATTAACCTCTCAACAGGAACCTAATACAGCTAAACTTCATTTACCTGTATTCTACCGAGAAACTATTGTAGTGACCCATCTTATTACTCGTCACCGTAGTTTACTTTCACCATATAATTGAACTTTGATTTGTTTATCACTTCAAAGATTGCGTGTTAACAATTGATACATTGTACTTGCTCCACTTTTGTGTTTTGATAACTGCGATAATACACGTTCGTAATCCTTCTCAAGTGCCTTTTGATTTACGTTGTGGTTGTCGAGTAATCACAACTTTAGGACATAATAATAAATGCGAAGAAGGACTAGGATACACGTGTACGCTAGTTTGGTCAAATAGACCACCACCACAACAAGCCTTCTTCACCACCTCCTTTGCTAGCCAATTTCCTTCTTTCTTTGTTTCTTCCTGACTAACTGACTGACTGCGTGACTGACTGACTGACTCACTGACACGCACACTGGCTTCCTAGTATAGTATGGAGAACAGGACTCATGTACCAGCTATCATGATGGAAAACAGTTTTCGCATAAAGTATTTCCATGACATCTTCATTGCATAGGATGCTCCTGGTGATGATTATGATGGTCCGAGAAAACACACACCTCATCTTCATAGTACCTAATTTCCATCATCCTATCTACTACTACTACTACTACTAAAGGCAAAGTAACACATGTCCCGGTGACAAGGATGATAAGCTTATGCATCCCAGCCCACTTAATGCACAGAAAATCTATCTGGACTGGAAAAGTGAATCATTTCTCAAGTTTCCTTCACACTGATAGATAGAAAAATCAATCGATTGAATCACATCTCCCTCCTCAACCTACTTTCCGAGAATTTGTACTCATGATATCAGTGTTAATAATGAAGGAAAATAAAAGAGAAGGTGGAGACAGTTTCGTAGAGATTAAATACCTACTCATCACAGACGGTTTCTTCCTCTTCAAGCCAACAGTAAGTTAGTTATACGGCAGAATCATGAAACAGAAGGAATTGCTGTACGTAAGTTTACATTTCAAGGTGAGATAGATAGGCTATTGAAAACAGAAGGACGAAATCACGTTGATGGAAACATTTCTCCTTTCCAACCTCACTACCACTACTCTACGGATAATTCACTAAAGCCATCCATCATCAGTGCATGTTTACGTTAGCCTCATTTTCTAATTTTTACATTGTCATTTGATCTTCACTCACGCCGAAAAATCAATCACTTCACAGAGCAATCACTACACAAACTTCAATGCACAGAAGATGAAAATGAAAAATAAGTCTATTCTTCTATGGAATTGGAGAGATGGAATAACACTGTGAATTAGTGGAAGCCTTCGGTAAGCCAGCCAGCCAGCCAGCCAACCAACCAGTCATTCAGACTGCCTGTCGATGGAAGCAAAAGTGAGCGTGGTAAAATAGAATGTCCAAACACAATCTTCGAAGTTGTGAAGGCCGGTGAAATTATCAGAGCGATGAGAAGATACGGTGCAGAAGTGCTAAGAATCCGAGATGAATATAGAGAGAAAAGATCACTAATCTCTTGCGATCACTCAAACATCGGAAGCCTATAACTAATCTGTAATTCTACGTAAGACGAATGTATCCACCACATAACTGGCTACCATTATTATTACTATTATTATTGCAATGCTAAACATAAGACTTTGTGACTGTTGGGAGAAGAAGAGGAGAATTCATCGTAAAGAATGTTCTTCCGTCAGACTGACACACTTCTAATTCATGACGTGGGAATATTTCATACACAACCTGAAATCTCAGATATAAGAGATTCATCCAAGCTGACTGACTGACTGACTGATGAGTTGAAGCCTGTAGAAGGTGTCACATGAGTTGTTATTCAAATATAATTTGCATAGTGGAAGAAACGGGATCGCATTGCATTCCATTGCAGTGCATTACATCACATCACATCACACTTCATGAATCCGGAGTATGCAGTAGCAAATCACTTTATACGAATTCGTCCGTTATCTTTTTCTTCACTTGATCATGTGACTCACATCACCTTGTCTTCCTTGTCCCGTGTTGCTTTTCATTTCACTTTACTGCATCAAGTCGGCTAGCTAGCTGCCTTTGATCATAATATCTGTCTGTGTTCTATCTACATATTGCGTTTGGTGGGAGGTGTAATAGGGAGACTAACATTGAGATGAGGCATCGGTCGAGTGCTCCGTGAGGAAGGAAAATCAATCGACGAGGTTGTGAAGGTAATTCAATTGAGATGGTAAAGAGATGTTATTACGCATGCCTCCTTGACTGATGGGAATTGTTAGCCACTGAAATAGCATGTATCTGGTTAGAAAAGAGCCAACTAGGTCTAGGTGGTCAAACCAAAACATGGATTTGGCCAACAAATCAGCGACGTGTATACTTACTTACTGACTGACTGACTAACTGACCGATCGACTGACTGACTGGTTAGGGTCCTCAGGATGGTAAAAACCAATGAAGGCTGGAGACTGTCTATCTTTCATACAGATAGCTGAAAATCCCAGATGAAAATAATGACACAGAAAATGCGTTCACTTATTGTGATTTGTCATGTCGAATAAAACTCTATTGTTCTTTCATACTACTACTATTACTACTATTTTTCTCTCCTCACACTTGATCTGATTGTCTCTCTCTGTGTCTGTCTCTCTTTCCCTCTGTGTATCTCTCCTTTGAATTTCTCTTTACTCTCTTCTCTTGCTTCGTAAGTCTCATGGAGGGAGGGAGGGAGTGAGGGATGGTGGCAACTCGAGCTGCTGCTGCTGCACATCTCTGAAAAGTTTTATGTTGACGTGGGTTCGAATTTCAGAAGGGACATTATTTCCTTCAAAATTACAGATAAACCTTGTGACCCGTGAGGAGCAACAAGCACAAAGTCTAGGCAGGGCTTCCTGACGATTGCCTCCAATCATCTATTACCAACAATTACTTCACACAACACACAAATCACCTCAGATAGACAGAACTCTCTTGAATGAATGAATGAAAGAAAAAATGCATAAACACACATGCACACATATACGTTCAATTATTTTCATGTTCTCAAGTAAAAGAAAATCAGAATTTTTCATGACTGTGTTTAACAATAGAACAGATTGATTTGTTACTCCTCTACAAAATGAACAGGTACAGACAACATAAGAAGACAAACAACGTACTTCGGATTGTAACCATTCTTTCGAAGCCAGGCTAGACGTCTTTTTCTCCACCGATTAAATGCCTCACCCTGTAAAACAATAAATACAAACAAACTATACACTATACACCACCACCTACTTAGCATACAAGTCTTAATCGGTCCACCGAAAAAAGCATTGCTAAGTCATTCAAATGGTCATAATTCACATGCATCTTGGAAAATATACATCTCACTATCATTGTAGAAGTGTCGGTTTACAGGGATCTCATTTGACTGAGTACAGGGTTTCATTATGAGCTGACATCGGCTAGAGAAGCATTGGGAAACCGCCTGGAACAATAACCAGACAGTTTGGGACTCATCGCCCACTAGGCTTCGAACTCAGGACATTCTGCTTACAAGACCAGCGAGCTAGTTCACTATTAAGCAACTGACCAGTCCGTGAATTCCAACTTTTGCCAATTCACGAATGATATGTTGGTGCTGTTGGCACTATCAAATGCCATCGATGGCGAGTATTAGTCCCCACACCCACAACCTGCTTTACTAACTCACTGGTCAAGGCTTATCAGTAGAACCCACCCACGTAACTGCTAACCTTGAACAGGGCCAGTCACCAGTGAGCTCACCTCGTAACCGAAAGCTACTCGGTTCGAACACTGGGGGTGGGTGTGCGTACCCCTGAACAGTCCCAAACTAGCACGAAACACCTGTCGAGTACTCGCAGCCAGTTTTCCAATGCTTCTCTAACCCATGTCAGGTCATAATGAAGTCCTATAACCAATCAAATCCTAGTAAACAAACACCTGAATGCTAGCTGATAGGTTGGTTGCTTTGTAAACGCGCTGCTCGAAACATACATGTAGGCGTCCTAACTAAAATAGGTACAGATACACACCTATAAATCACCATCATATACATCACTTTAAATTGACAAAATTTACTAACAATACTAATACTGCCACCCCATGTAAATAAAATTTTACTCAGATCAGTGAAAGATCAAGCGAATAAACAGAGCCTTGACGAGAGAATATTGGAAGCTAGATGGCGGTAATATCTCAGTTCCTACGCCATCAGATGATACAAGAATGTCACCACGTAGCACATACAGGAGCAGCCAGAACAACCGACCTTTTGAGACAAGGCATGTACTGGACAGGTATAAGAGATGTGGCGAAATATATACTTGGATGCCAGTAGTACCAGTTGATAGAAGAAAATCGGCGCATACGACCGCCTCTGCAGTTAATTCCAGCTACGACAGTAGGTGACTTGACATCCATAGATGCGATGCTTTCGTCTTCGCAGATCCGTCTTCAGAACCTCCTGATAATGACGAAACAAACTATACGATGGGCACACGCCATCACAATCAGTGCTGGAGAACTGTCACTGATGCAGCACTACGACACATCGTTGCAGACCACGGTGTACCCAAGGTCGATACTGACTGACAGATCAAGGCCTATGTTAGAAAGCGAAGAATTCACTTCCCATTTGCCACAGCTAGCTGTCAAGGAGATCAGAACAATACCATATCATCAGCAAACGAATGATCTGACACAGAGGAATAACCTTACACTTAAGGAGTGGCTGGCCTCGAACAGAGGTAACTGTGAGTTAGAGCTGCCATTGATTCTACTAGCACATCGTGCGACTACCCAAGAAACAACACCAGTTCAGCTGATATATATATATATATATACGAGGCGTACATAATTTTCCTATATAGAGAAAATCAAATTGCAAACAAACAGTCCGTCACCTAAGTCTGTTGTCTCCTACCGTTACAAAACAATCTCAGCCTTTAATATACTACTTTTATTATTCATAACAGTAATAATAAATAATAATGAACATTTTACTGCAATACTTACCTTATCATCTATAGGCATTTTGTCAACACATTCTTCATAATTAGTTGATAAATCTACATTCTGGGGAAATTCAATATGGTCAACATCAGAAAATTCTTCCTTTAATTTGAACCAGTCAACGTCTTCATCAGCATGTACATCATGGAGCATTCCCACCATCCAAGGATAACAAACAATAACAACAATCCAGTGACCACTAAAAAAGTTCCTATAGACATAACCAGTGAATGTCACACACACACACAAAGAGAAAAAGAGAATAATTTCATACACATACACACAGGTTAATATGATACAATGTGAAAGGCGAAAAATGTTTTTAAGTCAGAAATAACAACCGGGATGTAGTGACTAGAAGACATTCTCACAACACATTGGCGACAATTATCCCCTGTAATATGTATGATATGCTTACAATGTTTTCTAATGCATTTTTGAACAGTTATGCGACTTCTTGAATCTGAATTCTGACTGCTTGTTCAGGGTCACTGTGGCATTCGCTATCATAGTTTAATTTAGCCTGTAAGTTTCGTCGTCTTAAATAGTTGTCCCACTGTCGATGGGCGTTTGACCAAGTGACTGACTGAGTGACTGACTGATAGTGTAGGCTGCTAGTGTTCCACCTGTAACTGCTACCAGCATCATCAGTTATCTTATCATATGGCTACAGTAGTTATGAAGTTAGTTATTCACTTAGATACACATTCAGAGTAGAAAGTCTACAGGTCACCGCAACGAAACTCACATTTTTCCTAAAGTATAAATTATATTGAAAAAAACAATTTAACTATAGACTACACATGTTGCTTATCTGGTCTAAATTATACTTACTGCTCATTAATTGGAATGATGATAAAATCTTTACTGAAAATATCATCTCCACATGTCCATCGGGCTACACCAGTGTGTCGAGCATGAATTACTCTGATGAAAGGGAAAACAATATTATCATGAAAAACAGTCTCAATCGGAAATGTACACAACACAATGTAATTCATATATGTATATATAAGGTGTAGAGCACATGTCAAAAACCACCAGAGTCCATGTGCATTTTAACCCGATTTAAATATGTCATGTGATGTGTGTGTGTGTGTGCGTGTAGGTGGGGACATACGTGCAACATCCAAACACCACATACCATTCATTCATTCATTCATTCTCATGACACTTATTAACGAGAAAAAAATGAATTTATTTGTATGCATTGAATGAAAATACCATCATATGATTCTTATAGAAAAAACCATACCAGGGGAAATGCCTAGCTGTTCCGTGTTTCACTTACACATTCACAAGATCAACATGCAAACACTACTACAATTGACAGTCTAGTGTCTGTTCTATAACTTAACCAGTAGTTCACATGCCAGTATTGAGGTAGGAAGCAGTTACCAGGCGGTCGAAACAACAACAAAAAGAACAAACTCTTCAAAGTTAAACAACAATGAATGCTGTCAGCATAGAATATTTCACAGATTTGCAACTCTCCCTCCCTCCATGAGACTCACGAAGCAAGAGAAGAGCGTAAGGAGAAATTCAAAGTAAAGATACACAGAAGGGAAGAGAGACAGAGACACACTATCAGATCAAGTGTCAGAAGACAAAAATAGTACTAGTAGCAGAAGTAGAAGTAGTAGCAGATGAAGCAGTAGCAGCAGTAGTAGTAGTGGTAGAAGAAGCAGTCGCAGTAGCAGAAGCAGTAGGAGTAGCAGAAGAAGTAATAGTAGTAGAATTCGCAGTCGCAGTAGTAGTAGAGGTACCAGTAGTAGTAGAATTAGTAGTATATATATATATATATATATATAAAAGAATATTTTCGCTTTACAGATATTAATCATTTATCTATGGTTTAAATTTCCGTGTTAGGCATAAATTACTCTGAATTGGCGACGCAGTTGTCTCAGTTAAATCTGACTACTGTGTGTCTACCTGCTGTTCAGTGTGGCGGGCGTATATTTCGATGTGATGATCAGTTGGCTAAAATCTCGTGACAGGAGACTTACTCTAGTCAAGTTAGACAAAAATTAATAACAACCAATAAATTATTAACTCTCCGTTACAGCAAATTAGTCAACGGGATGTCTTAATCATATCTGTGGCGACTTGAACTTCCGCACATTTGTGCAAAGTTCTATGTCGAAAACAGACAGACAGACAGACTTAATCATATTCTTCAGTTTTGAGCACAGTCCAGTTACTGTTACCACTGCGGCTTCCACATGAGAAAACTCTTACCGAATCCATAACCAATAAATTTATAATGTTTATAATCATCTAGGCATTCCCATACTCCGATTACTCATTCAGTCACAGAGGCACAGAGGAATTAACTCATCAGTCGATGCATCAATTCACACGGTTGGATTTCAATGAATCCATGAAAACTGATGTGAAAAAATTAGATGAATAATCTCCATTTCACTTATGCATCAAAATCTAGTGATGAAAGCACTACTATTTGTGCAAAATCAGGAGATATGGTCAGTCAGTTCAAGTGCAGAGAATTTCCTCCCTCCGCGTTCCCTTATCTCAGAGGAGGAAGACGAGGAAGACGGTGAAGGATTCTCTCCAGTTTCCATTACATCTCATGTTGTTGTTGAACGTGTTTCTGGAGAGATATTTCCAACTTAGTTGGTGGAATCTCTCGTGATGTTCATTTCATCACAAAGAATTTCAAAGATTTATGTTGCCTAATTAATCACCATGACTTGTGTGTGTATGTGTGGGTGAATACATTCAAGTGATCAGTTGGCTACAGTGCACGACACTGTAGAGGTTCATTCTAGTCAAGTTAGACGACAACAACAAATCACTAATACTGTGTTACTACAGTTACCCTTCTATATGGTGACGGTGATGATGAAAAGACAACTAGAGTAGAGACTTACTCACTTCGATAACAACAACCATACACCTGAAAGAGTTTATCAAAGGTGAAATAATAATCTTTGTAAATAAAGGTGAAATCAACATGTCAGAGTACTCACAGTTCACTGATACGTATGCATGACTATTTACATATGTATGCAACTGCAATTGTTACAAATTGACATCACATTGCATTAACAGTTGTCAGTTCGCACTGTTACACTGATTTATACAATGCGCAAGCTTCTCGAACAACTGACCTTACTCATTGCAAACGATTCATCTTGAAATTGTCTCTCACTGTCTTTGTTTGACATACCTGGAAAGTCATTAGAATTAGCCTCTCAGGGCTAAACCTTTATAGTAATCATATCCAGGAGAGTAGTTGATTAATATGCGTTGAAAGCCTGATTAACAAGAAACGACTATACACATTATATTCATCATAATTATGAATTTGTATTCAGCACAATAACATACACTGATATATAAATATCAATACGGATTGGTTACCTTCATCAAATCTGTAGGGAATAATTCTACTACTGGTAGTTCAATCACCGGACCTGAACAACTCCAACCCACCCTTAAGCATGCTTTTATCAGCCCACGATCGATCAGAAAACATTCATCATTAACAGTTGAACTAAATAAATATTTCCGATTAGAGGAAGACTCAAAGTCGCACAGTCTTCTAATTTATGATGGCGCAAGTCTCAAGTCACCATTCTACTGTTCTTATTGAAGAAAACCAATCGAGATTATAGGTGGTAATTGCTTCCTTGATGAGAAGAAGCAGACCCTTCATATTATTATATACTTTTGTTCCGATGTGATGTGATATTCAACACTTGACAATGCGATGTCAAACTTTCATTAACTCATCAAAATACTTTTCAACTTTCCTCCTATCCTATCCTACTTGCAGTATATCCCCACTACAATAAATATTAGAACTATAAGAAAACAAAAGAACATGGCATCTTAGAGATTATCACTCTTTCTCTCTTTCTCTCTCGCCCTCCCTTTGTCTGTTCCACTCTATGATCATTGCAAAATGATGAAATGATTTCTTCACGTGTAGGTGTCATGAGTACAAAAAGCTTCAGCAGATCGCTTGATAGACATATGCAACACGTTGTAGAATTTGCTTCAGACGAATTAGTGTAAGGGAAGGGAAGCTGATGGATAATACTATTTTGTAGGGACATATTTTGTCACGTCCCATCTGTCATTAACCCAGATTTTGCACATTTTTAATTACTAGGTTTTATAACAGCCTGGGAAAGCTGAAACTCCTGAAACAGAAAATATTAGTATCATTTCAACAGTTTAATAGTACAGCCACTGCAGAGATGCAGATGTAGCATCTTGGAAAATAGAGAGACTTCTTTATTGTAGGGAGAGCGCGACGGTGTCATTGTAACTGTAGATGAAACTGCCCTATTTATTAAAGAGAAAATACAACCGTGATCGTGAACGAGCGAATAACGTTTGGTTTGGCTGATTGGTTTATACAACAAATCTCCATAGAAACGATTAGTCGAGAGAATAACAGATACAAAGTTAAGTACTTTAATACTCACTATCACTCGACTGGCAAAACGAGGATCTCTAAAACAAAAGAATGAGTGGACAGAATATAACTAACTCCTTGTCGTCTACATTTCTGCATTAGATAACTACAAACACCAGTTTGACTTTCCATAATTTAGTTATCCTTAACATAGGAAACAATAACAACATTTACAGTCGGAGAATTTCAAGAAACCTCGTACTCAAATGAATGAATAATCAGCGATTAATAAACACACCACCTTACTTTACACCAAATTTAAAACAACTAACAAATCAAAAAAATAAATCACATGAGACAAGAAAGTTAAACTCCCAATAGGTGACATGGCTCAAAATCGTTGTCAATGGCCAGCGCACATGTATTCAGTCTCTGTAATCTTTCATATTCCTTTCTACCATTACCCATTCTGTTTCACTCGTATACTTGTCAAACTCTATTGATTCTCTTCACTCATCTTCTTGTCTACTTTTGTGTGGTATTTGGAACGTGGCAACTCGAACTGCTGGACTTCGGTGACAAGTTCTATGTTGAATCCAGACAGATAGACAGACAGAAACTCCCAAGTCGATAAAAAATAATCAAAATAACAAAAATCGGACAATGGTTGCCCGGAAATACAACTACTATATCGTCAAATAAGTTCATTTCATAATAAAACGTTTGGTGAAGGAAGGTGTTGTGTCTATAGCTGGCGGACAACGACATCTCCACAATTAATTATATCTACAACCAGCTTCTCAGAGAACACAATCAAAATCATCCTCCTGAGCCAAAAATCTTCGACATTATATTGTCAGCCTGTATATATATATATATATTAATAAAATGAATTCAAGTTGACACCATAACACAAAAGCAATAATAATCCCCATGTGCATTGAAAAACCAAAACCTACTCTTCTGTTTTTATCTTAGTCGACGGATGCTCAAATGTCAATCGAGTATAGAAAAGCACATTGAACAGGTGAGTAGCATGCTTCTGATAGTCTGTCAGTTT